AATATAAGCAAACCGAGCTGGGTGGGTCCCACAGCAGTCCTGCCCGGGGCGGGGGAACTTCCATGCTTCTCCCCTGCCCCAGTAATTGATTTTTTTTTTTTAAAAAAAAAGCCACACTAGATGAAGTGTTCTGGAGAACTCAAAACCTTGCTCACTGCTGAGTTTCAGTTGGTCATAGTAATTATATTAGTCCCCTGTAGATTTTTGTTGTTTTGTTGACCAACAGGTACCAGGTATCTCCCTCCTCTCTCTTTCCCTTCCTTCCTTCCCTTCCTCCCTTGGCAACATCCTCTGCATCTCATGAGGTAGATACATCAAGCCATCCTGCAGGCAGCAGGCTGAAGAAAATGCCATAACATGTCCTTTCAGATTCATCTGGCATCAAGAATGCCCTTTCAGATATCAAAGAGACCTGTGGTGCCTTCATGAGTGACCCATTTACAGTTGCTATCTGTGCATTTGCTGCCAGAAATTAATCTTGGGATGGCAGAGCTGGAAAGGATCCTCGGGGTCATCTAGTCCAGCCCCGGTCAAGGAGCCACCATGCGGGAATTGAACCCTCAAACTCTGAATTCACAGCCAGAGACCTAAACCACTGGGCTATCTAGCATGGGCCAGTCTTCCAGATATCACAGGTCTCTGAGTTCTTTGGGCTGCAAACAGACTGTCATGGCTACCCCCTGGGGAAATATGAAATGGTAGAAAAGAGAGGTTGTTAATTTTCTCTCCCATGCTATGGATTGTTTCTCAGAGGGCTCTGTACTTGTCAGTGGCTTGCTTGGACTAGCTGCACTTGTAGAGTTTGGGAGAGTTTTGAAGCTCTCAGACTGTGCGGTGTAGTGGTTAGAGTCATGTGCAGCGATGTCGGTGGTCTGAGTTCAAATCCCTGCTCAGGCTGAAATATGTTGGCTGGCCTTGAGCCTTCTCTCTCCCTCTCCATGACCTACGCCGCAGGGCTGCTGGCGAGCAGAAAGTAGAGACACAGAGAGCCTCAGCTACTGTCCTAAGCTCACGGCAGGAGAGACAATGAATAATTTTTTTGAAAATACAATGGTGCTTTTGAAAAACACCAATTCCCTGGATGGGGTGATGAAATTAAGAGGATCTGCTCAGCCTTTGTTATGAGATAACAAACCTGCTTTCCGTGAGCTGGTGAACATTAATGGGACGCTTCGTTGAAGGCGAAAAGGTTTTAGGGGGAAGAGCAGGGAGGAGCATCATTGTGATCTCAAAGACTTGAAAGGCAATCATACAAAGGAGGGGCAGGATCTGTTCTAGATCCTGCCAGAGTGCAGGACACCCAGCAATGGGCTCAAGTTACAGGAAGAGAGATTTAGGCTAAACATCAGGAAAAACCTCTTAACTGTTAGAGCAGTACGACAACAGAACCAATGACTTCAGGAGGTGGTGAGTGTTCCAATTTAAGAGAACAGTCATCTGTCAGATATATAGCAGGACCCTTAGTTCCATGGAGGATTCGTTCCAAGTCCCCTCCCTCACGGATAATGAAAAATGAGGATTATAGCAAATACTGTACATAGTATGGTCGCTGGCTCCCTGCAGTGGCCATTTCTGGTAACTTCGTCCTTAGCAATATATATGTCTAGGATTTTTTAAATATATATTTTCATATCCTGGATAAGTGAATCAGTGGATAATGATCCCGCGGATAACAGGTTCTTGTAATGTGATTTAGATTCCTGCACCGAGCAGGGGGTTGGAATCGATGGCCTTAAAAACCCCTTCTAGCTCCATGATTCTATGGTTTCCCTTGACATGGGCGCTGGGTTGGGTGGGTAGTGAAGTAAAGTGGGTAGAGCTTTTCTAGTGTCCAGGTATAAAGAGTTTGCAATTATCATAAGGCAGAAGCCTTGATCCTCCTCTTCTTCCTCCCACTCAAAACGGTTTCTGTGCATTCTGGAGCGTGTGGCAAATCTTACCTGTGTCACTCACCCTTCTGTTTCTCTGCTTCCAGTGGTCATTGAAGACGACAGAATTGACGATGTTCTGAAGAACATTTCGGAGAAACCACCTCCAGGAGTTTAAGTCTCCCCCACAGAGGCCATGAGTAAGAAAAAGAAAAAAAATAAAGATGAAAGAGGCAAAAAAACATAATTTACCTTTTAACACATTATCGGGCAACTCACCCACAAAAAAAAAAAGGAAATCTTTTTTTTTAAACGCAAACTTCGATGTTCTCCATTACTAGCCTGTATTGCAAAAAATTTGCAATTTGTCTCCTGATTCGGAGTCTGAATCCTGCAGGATGGAGGAGAAGGTGGGCTCAAGTGTGTGGAGGGGAAAAAAGAAGGAGAAATCACGTCTGACGTGGAAAGAGTGGCATTAAAAATTGCACACGTTCAAATCTTCGAGCGCAAGCTCTAGAAGGGAGGGGTTGTGCGCACGCATGCGCGCATGTCTTTCCGCCTGGACAATCAATCATGTTTTTACGGTTTGTCTGTTTTCCAGTCTGGGTTTTCAACTTTTGGTTTCGGACAGCGAGACTGTGGGGAGAAGTTTTTTTTTAAAAAAATCAGTATCATTTGATCTCATTGGGCTGATCCAAATAAGCACTTGTTTACTTGATGAAATCATGCAAAAAACAAAACAACAACAAAAAAACCACACACACACACACACAAACACAAAACCACAAAACTAAATGCATTTGCATAAACATTATTTGCATTTCCATTTTTAAAGAACATCTGGGGGTTTTTTTGGATGTTAGGGAGGGAAAGGGGGAAAGGATGATCTTTAATTATGAGTATAAATATAAATAAATAAATAAATATATCTATTTAATTCTAGTTAACTTTTAATATTTCTGGAAAGTACGGAACTTTTTTTCTTTTCTAAGAGAAAGGGATTCTTAGAAGAAGGGTGCTCTTGGCTTTATTAGCATTTTTTTTCTGGAAAACCGATGGGAAAGTTCAGTATTTTGGTATGGAAGCACACAGTTGCACTCAAAGAGAAACTTAATTTTGGATGCAGAAGAGCAGGGGAAGGAAATGGATCTGTTGCTTTTTCTTATGATTGCCCTGAGCAAGCAGTCTGTAATGTGGGCAGTTTCTACTTTCTTTTAAATATATATATTCTCTTTCATAGAGTGTAATTATATAAAAGTGCAAAAAGGCATTTAAAAAGCCCACCACCCCTGCAACATGAGTGCCAAATATTCGGAAATGCCAAAAGGTGACTTTTTTTCTTTTCAATTTTTTTTTAAAATTTAGTGATCTTGAGTCCACGTAAAGTTGCATTCTCGTACCTGACTAATTCTCTTCTTTATAGCGCTCTTTACCGACTTCCATCTATCTATCTGTCTATCTATATTAAGAGAGGGATGTAAACATCTTGTCTATTAATACTTGACTTCTCGAGTCTTCTTTTTTAAAAAAAGGACTGTATTTCTTTCTTTCTATTCTGATCCTGTTTCTAGTTTTCCCGTTTCTTTGCATGACATGCAAAAAAAAGAGAGAGAGAGAATGAAATATTTTTTGCTGTTCTTTTTGCATAAAACTAAACTCTGAAATGACCTTGGTCTGGTTTCTTTTTTTTTCTCATACGAAGTGTGTATGTTGAATTTCTATTACTCTGCACAGGGCTATTTCTCTGCGATGTATAATAAAAATGAAGAAAAAGAAATAACGGCCACAGTTGTGATTATTCTTCTCTTCCATCTTTGCCGTCTTGTGTCTGATTATTTGTTGGGGATTACAGTCTTTTCTGGCTCTTAGGGGGCCTCCAGATGTTTGGGTCTCTAATACCCATTAGCCCCAGCCGGTCTGCCCAAGAGATGTGGATAATGGGATTTGCCTTCTAAAACATCTTGAGAGTCCAGGTTGGGGAACATGGCATGATTCTATTCCGTGTGCACTGTGTTGGCCAAGGGTGTTTTGACAACAGCCCTGTGAGGGAGCTTAAGCCGAGAGTGGCTGCTCCAATGAGCTTCAATAACCAGGTCAAGATTTGAACTCTTTACCCTGAATCCTCCAGTGGTACAAACTTCTGTCCTGGTGGGTTTGGTTTTAAGGACTTGGATTGTCAAGGACATGGTGCCTTGATTGAAATCTCATGGCAGAGGGTTGGTGGGGGTGGGGGAAACCCCAGGAATGTAATTTTAACACAACCTCTCCCTTGGCACCCCAACGTTCATTGCCCAGACCCCAAATATCCACCCTGGCGCACTGCTTAAGGGCTGTTTAGCCTGGTGGAAAACAAGAGGGGGGGGCTGAGCTGGGGGAAGCACCCAGAGTTTGTTTTACGTTCTTGCTTGTTTTGGGACTCCGAACCCCCCAGAATCCCCTACCCGGTGGCGGGAGAGAGATGCTGAGGGGAATTCTGGGCTCTGCGGTCCCCCTCAGAAGGAACTTTCCCAAGTTCTGGCATCTGAAGTGGTTCCACTTCAGCTCCGGTGCAGGAGCTGAAATGGCCCAGGGGCCTCCGTTCACTCTGCTACAGCTTTTTACTGAGGTAAAAATCAAGAAGGCATTTATTCTTTGGAAGAGCCCGGGGGGGGGGAGTATAAGAAGAGGCCCGGAGGTATTTGTTGGCCATGGGAAGCCCACCAGCAGGGCCACTGACTTGTGATCTCTGGCAACTGGAAGAAGATCAAGAAGACGGGTGCCTCTCCAAAACCTTTTGGGTTTTAGTGCAATAACCTTGGGGGCCCAGATTTTCTGCTTAGCCCCTAGGAGGGCACCATGGCTCCCCATGGGTTCAGACAGGGCTCTTTCCTCGCCCTCCACAGAGGACCCGGCTTTTCCCTGGAGATCTTCCCCATCCAGGTAGGAACCTGGCATGATGTTGCTCAGCCCTGCCCCATCCCTACGAATTATGGTTCCAACAAAGTTCCAGTTCCAGTGCTTAAGGAATGAAACCATCTTTCATGAAGTCACCATCATGATTTCTTTATAACCTCACAACTCGGGGGTGGGAATGAATGGTTCTTAATTAGTCACGGCGAAGCTCTAAAATGTACCTGCGAAGTTACCCAGTAAACCCAGTCATCCCAGCATGCAGGACCTGTAACAATGGGCTCAAGCGACAGGAAGCCAGATTTAGGCTTAATATCAGTAAAAACCTCTTGACTGTTAGAGCAGTAGGAAAACGGAAGCAATAACCACAAGGGGAGGTCCTGAGCACTCCCAATGCTGGAGGCCTTCAAGAGAAAGCTGGACTACCCTCTGTTGGACTCAATGGCTTTATAGATCCCTTCCAACTCAATCACTCTAGGATTCTATGAAACTTTGGCCAAGGAAAATTTGAATCCAGGTCTTTGTAGGCCAAGCTTCACCCTAGTAGCGATTACAGCATATTGCAATTTGCCCATGAATTAATCCATGGAAGGAGCTGGTATTATCAGGGTTTTGAAATTTCCCTTTTCTGGACCACCTCCAACCCTGAGGACATCCACGGTGTGGGTCCTTGTGATGGAGAACCCAGGTCTTGGCTGCGACGGGCTCAGAAATTAGCCCCACTCAGCCGGCAGGTTGGTTGCTGAGACCTGCTGTCACTCCGGTCCTCTGAGCCTGTCACCTTGTTGGAGTGCTTGTGGGGGTCCCCTCACAGGAACCCTCTGAGATCTTGAGTCCTGATATTGAACGCAGTGTTATTAAAACCAAGACTGAGCAAGAACCGTGAGACGCACAGGTGGGTGTCAACCATTTGCCAGGGGCTTGTTGAGGAAGGTCCGGTCCAGACAAGGAAATAACACAGGTAGAGCTCTTGTCGTGCCAGCCCTTCACTCTACCCACACCAATTCGGATCCTTCTGCCTGTGTCTGGACGCACCCTTTATTTTAAAGGAACGTGAAGCTATAGGCTTTAGGAATGCTACCTCTGAGCATACTTTGAAAGCCTCTCCCCTCCACTGGCATATCCACCGTGTTGTGCGTAGTGGTGAGTGATTCCTCTGGTGCAGGTCTTCACCTGAGCTTTGGAGGAGCTCTCCAGGGTGCTGAAGCAGATCTCCCCAGCCGACAACTCCTCCAAAGTTGAGAAACTCACTGGATAGCCCTGGGAGCCGAGTATTTAGCTAAGGTTTGTCCCTTTCAGGAGAAGAGACAGCGGTGTGTCCCCCCCCACTGGCTTCTGCCTCCTAGCCTGTTCCTACCCATCGTGGGCCAAGAAGAAATGCATATTTCTGTTTGGCATCATGTTGCAAGAAAGCTAGAGGGATGTCTACCATTTTTGGTGGTGGTGGTGGGGATTCAGAAGGCCTCCCCTTTCTTCTCTGACAACGCACGAGGACTTAAAACCTTACAGCCTTCTGCTTAGCTGCCCAGTAATAAACCCCTGGAATTGAGTGAGGGTGATGGCCCCATACCGGGTGCTAGATGACCGTCCGAATCCTTCAAGGTCTAGAAATAATATGGCTTTTATTCCCTTCCTCTGCCCTTCGGCTGTGTTGCCATACTCTACATTCCCGAAATGCTGCTTTAATGAGGAGCGTTTCTCCGGCTAATCTCAGAAGTTGAGATTTGCACCGTTTGGCTCAGCAGGAAACTGCTTCCTTTCATTGGCATCTTTTCCTGGCTTCTCCCCAACGCTTCCTGGGCTGATGCCCATTGCGGAGAGGGTGGAAACGGGAAAGATCTCCTCCTTTTCTCATTACCTGGGGTCATCTGAGGAAACTGAGCGATGGGAGAGGGTGGTCTCTCTCTCTCTCACACACACACACACAGACAATAAAACGGGTCCCTAATCTGCAAACTTCTGCATATACTGAATCATATGCGAGGATGCAAAATCAAACATGCTTTCCATGAGGTCTCAACAGAATTACAAGACCTCTCACCTGAGTGAGGAAGGCAGCAGCTGGGGGGACCTCAAGGGTCACTCCCGAATCTACTGCCTCCTCTGAGCTGGGATCTTTGAATCAACTGATCCTCAATGCCTCTGGTCCTGTCTGGTTCTGGAAACTAAGCAAGGTCAGATCTGGTTAGTTATGGATTGAAGTCCACCTGGGATCTTAGGGATGGATCTCCAGGTAGGATGACAAAGATGTTGCCAGGCAGAACTGGTGATGATCCAGATATCTTATAGGAAATGTTCAGTCCATAACCTCTGCTAGCAGGCTGTTTAGATCAAACCCAAACACCGTTACGTAGCTGTTAGCCCTTAAAACAGGAGATGGAAGGCTGTAAAATAAGGCCACTGGGCCATCTCATCAGGGCCTGATCCAAGCCTTTGCTCTCTGCCCTGCTCCTGGTTCAACTGTGGAATTTGCTAAGCCACGTTAAAGCTATGATGTTCAAAAACCAGTCAGCCAAATGCAGAGAGGCTGTCTGCCTAGCTGAGGGATAGATATTTTTACTTCCAGTTTCTGAGAGTGGATGCCTCTCCATGCAGTTGCCATGGGATACGAGCAGGAGGGTACGATGGTGCTCGGATCCCTCACGTCGCCATCGTGGTGGTGGTAGTGGGGGAGAAACCCGAGGGGGCCTTTGGGCTGAGCCAGGTGGCGGAGTTGTTGAGTATGTGTGAACTGACAAAAACCTGCAAGAAAACCACCGTGAGGTGAAATGTAAGCAGGGGGGGATGGGGTAAGTTTTGAAACATGGAGTCTAGAGCGGAAAACCATAGAGTTCGTGAGGCTGGGGTAGAGCATCATGTCTGCCCCCCCCCTGCTCGACCAGTGAGAGGATCCTCAACCAGAATTTGGAAGGGTTAATTTTTTTTGTATGTGGGGGGGATGACAGTTCTCAGAGCCCCCACTAGCCCTGTTGAATGGGGAATTCTTCTCAGAACTACAGAGGGGCCCTCATCAAGGAGGCACTGAGGGGGAATCGAACTCCCAACCACTGGCTCCACAGCCAGAGGCCTCAGCCCCTGAGCTATTCGGAGAAGTGATTTCATCAAGTTGGTTGTTGTGGGTTTTTCGGACTCTTTGGCCGTGTTCTGAAGGTTGTTCTTCCTAATGTTCCACAGCTATAAATACTCAACTATCCAAACAAACTGCCTCAGAGCACAGAGTTCTGACTCCAGTCCTCTGGAGATGCCGGCCACAGAAACGGGCGAAACGTTAGGAAGAAAAACCTTCAGAACACGGCCAAAGAGCCCGAAAAACCCACAACAACCATTAGATCCCGGCCGTGAAAGCCTTCAGGGATTTCATCAAGCTTTTCTTGAAAAAGACTGCCCGTCCCATCCCTACTGTTGAACTGCTCGTGAGGAAGACCTTTTGTAATGTCCAACAAAAATCTGTATTCTTATTATGTTCTGTGCTGTAGAACAGGAGCCAAATTATAGCAGTCCTGACTGGATCTTCAAGATAAGTGATACAGTTAAGGAATGTTTTCCTTGTAAAATGGTAGATGTATCACCATGGGGATTCGAACACAGGTCTCCTGAGTCCTAGTCCATCGTTCTATCTACTGCATCACACTAGGTATATAACCATCTACAGATTTCAGTCACCCTTAGTCCAGTAAAGATGTCATTTTTGCCCTCTGCTGTTCTGTGAGACAGCC